CCACCAATCCTGGGGCTTGGACTCAGGGCCTGGGCTCTATCCCGGAGGCTCTCTGTGCTCAAGACTACAGCTGTACCACTTGAGCCACAGCACCATTTCTGGTTTTCTGATGGTGTTCTGGAGACAAGTGTCTCATGGAGTTTCCTGCTCAGGCTGACTTTGAACCATAATCCTCAGATCTCAGCCTCCTGAGTGGCTAGGATTATAGGCATGAGCCACCAGTGCCCAGAAATGGCTAATTTACAAGAAGCTCAAAATATTTGGAAATGAAACCAACAAAGCAGTTTGTAAGGTGTCAGTGGGTCAGGGCTATAATCATATTTACTCAAGAGCCCAGGATCTCAGAATCTCAATTCAGTGCTAATTCAGGAAGGAAAGCCTGTGAGACTGACTTCTAATCAAACAAATGCAAGTGGTCTATGTGAATAGTGATGGAGCCCTAACCATGAGCAAAAACACTCCAAGACAGCACCCAGTCCTTGAGTTCAAATCCCTGGCCAGAAAAACACATTGTTTTAAAAAGCAGTTTTATTCTAACATAGGTTCATTTCCAACAGACAGTCTTGGGAGCCTCATTTTTGCAAGGGGTCATCCTGTGATCATGTTTCACCATTTTGTTATACTCCTTCCACTCCCCAAAGCAGAGACATGTATAAACAGATGCAAGGTACAAGAATCAAATCCAGTGATAACTGGGATGTACCATACAAAAGAAACTAAAAAAATATTTGTTCAGTAAGAACAACAACAAAGGAAAAGCTCTTGTGCCTGAATCTTGGGCCTCATTTTGCCTAGCACCTTGTTTCGGTTGTTCTTATCCTTACTCTTTTTTTAGTTTTATTTTACAGTGTCACCAGGAATGCAATTTTCAATAGGGTATTTGGTTTTGCTTATTCAACTTACTCTGGCACCCAGCACAGTCACCCCAATATCAACCCTGAACGTCTGAGTGGACATTCCCAGCACACCAACCACCAAAGCCAGCTATGCATGTGATGGACTTACCTTACATGGCTCACCCGGAGTAATGTCTTCAAACTGCACTGAACCCCCATGAAATGAACATCTTCACACCAGTGGTAGAGTGGCAGCCCTGAGGAGGGGAAAGGAGGGGGGAGAGTCAGGGAGGACACCAAGGCCTTGAGTTCAAGTCCCAGGACTGGCACACACACATTACAGGAGGACATAACAAGGAGGGGAAGCTAAGGCATTCGATGACCCGTACAGGCAATATACCCACCATCACCCCGAAACACTCCCCGGACCCCAGGGAAGCCGTTCCTCCAAACCTCCGTGTCCCCTCCAGACCAGCCAGACACCTAAGGGACTCACCTCAGACAAAGCCCACCGCCTTCCTCTCAGCAGCACACCTGCGCAAACCCCACTGCTTCCTGCACCCCGTGTGCTGGGGTCTGGCCGTCCTGCAGGCAACACGCCGGGCAAGGCACGGGAGGATGCGCTGCCCGGCCTGACAGCAACCATGGCGGAGCCAGGCGCCCAAAGACCGCGGAGGCCGCGCGGGGCGGCACAGCCAGGCCCGAGCCCCAGAAAGGACGTCCACAAGTTCCCGCTGCACACAAGGCCTTGCGGGGTTTCCTGACAGGCCTCCCTTCCCCACGGCTGCCCTTCCTCATCGCTCCCCCAGGACAGGACCTCAGCGCCAACTTCTCTGCTCCAGACCCCTGTCTCTCCTAGAAGCTGCAATGGCGGTCCCGGAGGGGCTGGATTGCCAGTCTGAGCATGCGCACCAGCCGTCCTCCTACTGCGCATGTCCACGTGCTGCTTCAGAGGGGCTCAGGCCTTGTCTCAAAATCTAAGGCCCTGGGGTTAAGAGTCCCTGAAACTCAGAACCCAGATTCCTCAAGGACAAAGATCACAGGCCTGTGCCTCAGGTGGCCAGCTCACAGGGCCTTTTCCATACAGAGTTTGCTGAATTTCCTTACGTTCACTTCATCCAAACACACACACATACACAAATATATATTAATCTATTTCTATTCAATGGTATATTTACACACAACTATATATTCGTATATTTATCATCAATGTTCTATAAGCCTTTTGCCCAATAAATTTTACTAGGCAGGTATTCCATGACCTGGGCACTGCCCTGAGCCCTTTGTTTACAATTATTTTTCAGACCAGCTGTTGAGTTTTGGCCCCTGGCTGGCATTCAATTTGAAGTTCCTCATCTCTGCCTGCAAAGTATCTCTAATTCATCAGATGTGTGCACCTCTACCACCAGATTAACAAAACAAAAATTATATAAATATAATCGTTGTTGAAACACCAGTACAAATGTAGAAGTCATGTATAATTTCTGGAAGGTTTACATGATGGAGAGCTAACATTTTATATAAACTTGAATCCCTAGACTCAGAGGGTAAAAGACAACTATGTAGTACTTCAGTAGATTGTCCAGGTCTGGGTTCCAATCTCAAACAACAAGAAACAACACTCCAAGATCTTCAATTGTCTCAGGCTGACGGAATTCTTTTCTTGTCACATTTACATCAGGCTCCAAGCCTTTGCTATGAAAGATTGATGTGATTTCTTAGAAAATCAGGTTTTCAAAAGTTTCCCTGACTGGACACTGTGGATCACGCCTGTAATGCTAGCTAGTCAGGTGGCTAAATCTGAGCATCATGGTTCAAAAGCAGATCAGGCAGGGAAGTCTGTGAGACTCCTCTCCAGTTAACCTCCAGAAAACTGGAAGGGGAGCTGTGACTCTAAGTGGAAGAGCATTAGCCTTGTGCAAGAAGAGCTCAGAGGCAGTGCCCACAACATGAGTTCAAGTTCCACAAACAGAGAGAGAGAAAGAGTGAGAGTACGAGACAGAGAGACACAGACAGACAGACAGACAGATAGACACAGAGATGGAGAGACAGACTGAGAGAAAGAGAGACAGAGAGGGAGAGAAACAGACAGAGCAGACAGAAAGACAGAGACAAAGATAGAGACTGAGACAGAGATAGACTGACAGAGACAGAGACAGAGAGACAGAGAGAGAGAAACAGACACAGAGACAGACAGACAGACTGACACAGGAAGATGGACAGGAAGACTAAGAAATCCCTGACAACTCCATTTAGAAAATGTATACAGATATCCAAGATGTATTTCCTATGCTTCTACAATTCACTACCTAGTACCACATCATCCTGATCCTCTTTTGGTTAGCTTGAATCGATTTGGAGTTTCATAAATCATTCCACATGCTCCCATAGAACATGAACAGCCACACATTCACTCACCAATGGTTTATATGTCTGGACGTATTGCTTAAATATGTAATTTTCCTATTCATATGTCTTTCTGTTTCCATGGTTTAAAGCTAGCATTGCCCACATTCCATGTCTAGATGTCTTCCTCCTTTGGGCCAGTAGTGGAATTTGAACTCAGGGCCTTGAGCTCTTATTTTTTGTACAATGCTTAGACATGTAACTTGAGCTACAAGTCCTGACTTTGGCTGGCTCATTGGATAAGTCTTTCAGACTTGTTTACTGGGGCTGATTTGAACTTCCATCCTAAGGAAGGATAGAGCATTCTTGAAGCTAGAATTATTGAGATGGGCCATGACAACCTGGAATGTCTTTGTCCCTCTGGCTAAGTCTTCTGTCTTCTACTGATGATGGCTGTTACCTATTTCCTATGTATTTTGTCAAATACTTTTCCCTCAAAGTAACATTTTGGTGGTATTTTGAGGTGAAATGTCCTTACATATTTGCACAGAGCAAAATGGGTATGCGTACAGACTTGAATTCACTAATGGAAGAAAGTCCCACATACAGAACATTTAGTCTGGCATAAGTCTCAAGAGACAGAACAACTTTCAAGGACATCTGGTTTGCTATGTCCTAGAACTTTAGTAATGGCCTGATCACCCCATGCAAGCATGGGTTGCGTTCCTTGCCCCTCATAGTGCACTGAACTGTCCCCTTCATAGCCAGTAAGTGTTGTTGGACAGCTCCAGGTCACTCTTTTGCCTTTACTCAGGACTCATGTGTCTGGGACATCTGAATGTATAAGAAAACAAACCACAGCATTTAGCCTCCATAAATTGTACAACATAAACATATATATTTAATAAATTTAGAAGAATAAAAAGAATGAACATTTTACAACAATCAGGACAAAAAGAAAAAGAGCGATATCCCCAGGGAGAGGGGAGGGAAGCTCTAAGTCTAGGTTGGCTTCTAAGTTGCCTTCAAACATAAATTCTGCCTCAGAATCCTCCAAGGGATCTACCTCCTCATGAATGATTGGAGTTGCTCCTGCAATTGCCAGAGAGGCAGATTCTAATTTCTCTGTTGGAGCTTGGTTCTGCTGCAGCAGCACTGATTTGCCCAGATATTTTTTGAGGACAGATTCACTTTCCTGAGCTGCATCTAACTTTGGGACCTCAGTTATTGGTTCCCCTGAGCACAGACTGGAGACATTTTCCATCAGCCCCACGTGTGCAACTCCCTCCAGCACGCCAGGAGGAGTGCTGATTTGACCCTTTTACGAGCTGATCTGGGCTGCCTGTGAAAGTCAGAGGAAGACAATCACTATTACTTTCTTCTTTCTTTCGGGTCCCTACAAGTTCAGCTCTGTCACATGTGGGGTTCAGAACCATTGTCTTATCCACAGGACTCACAACCTTTTGGGGCCTCACTGCAAATGCATGCAACCCCTCTACATGCACATGCTTTGTGGAGTCCAGTGATGGCTCCAGATCTCCATCCATCACCATCCTTGACATCACCGAGGGCTTCTTTCTTGGCACGTCAGGAGAAGCTGCTCTATGGCGGCCAAAGCCTGAGAAAGAGAAATAGGTAAAGGAGTTTCACAGTGGTCTCTGGATGTTCAGGTGGAGTTCAATTTCCATGAGGCTCTAATGGAGGAAGCTGTACAAGTTTACTTTGGACTGAACACTGATGAGCAGGTAAGATCTTTCCCAAGAGTGGCTAAGCACAAGTGCTTTCACCAATAGAACCAAAACTGCCTGGCAGAGAGTATCATAAGACATTCTTACAACCTGGGGGGGAATAAGAGCTCTCAGGCAATTAGGCTCATCCCTAGAGGCCCAGGCACCATCCCTACTCACAAGCTCTGAGGTGACCACACAGGGACTTCTTCCTCTGTTTCTTGGCCTCATTCTTCCCGGTCTCCTCCAGCTCATCCAGATGAACGTGGAGATTGAGGACCAGATCTGAGGAGGGCATGTGGAGCATGGCATAGTGGGTCAGTTCTTTCACCGGGTGTCGGTTCTGGGGCTCTCGGAAATCACCAGGATAGCAGTCCATCCACATGGTGAAGATGGAACAAAGGCTGCTGTGGGCAGATTGGTGACAAGAAGAGTGAGTGCCTGCCCTCCCTATCCTGGGCCTCCCATAGCCCCTTTCTGCAAGGCTGCTATATGCACACTTGCATGTTGGGAACAGGAGGAGACTCCTGCAAGCAGGCTGATCTTCACCACCCAGCTCTAGAAGCTTCTGAAAGATAATTCTCCAATATTCTCACTGTGATAGGTAACAAGAAGGAACTGATTTTGAACACACAGCCCTCCCTGTCATCCCTGAGAGTCCACAACCACACCACAGCTGTGTCCTCTGCCACCATGCCAATCCCAAGCCTCTGCCCCTAGTGCAAAGCACAAGTGGTGTGCAAATGAGAAATCTGCACTTTGAATCAGAAGCCACAAAGATTCCATTTTGCAAGAAGGGGCCTTTTCTTTGTGCCACAGTCCACTTACTTCTTTACTTGTTCATCTTCCTCGAAGTTACGGCCCGGGAATCTGTACCTATGGGAGGACAGGAGGAAGTCACAACTCTTCTTCTCCTTTTCTGCCCACACAGGACACATATGGGATGGGCTCATTCCCAGACGGGGATGGAATCTGACACATAAACAAGTGAGATATGTCTATACAGTTCAGTCAAAATTCTTCTATGAGAGGTATATGCATTTGGTCCAAGGAAAATGTGCCAGTGGCTAATACCTCAAATTCTAGCTCATCAGGAACATGAGATCTCAGGTGCACAGTCTGATCAGACATTAGTCAGTAAAAGTCTAAAGACATTAATTTTTCAAAGGCCAGAATTGCAACTATGGTTCAAATGCTGTAATGGTAGCTCTGAGCACCAAAGAAACAGCACTCCGGCCCTGAGTTCAGGTTGCAGGACTGGCACACACACAAAAACATAAAAGCTTCAGGGGTCATAAATATGTAAAGCTAACATAATCCCTCCCTGAGGTCTCTGAGGTGCACAGTCTGATCAGACATTAGTCAGTAAAAGTCTAAAGACACTAATTTTTCAAAGGCCAGAATTGCACCTATGGTTCAAATGCTGTAGTGGTAGCTCTGAGCACCAAAGAAACAGCACTCAGGCCCTGAGTTCAGGTTGCAGGACTGGCACACACACAAACCTGTAATCCTAGCCCCTCTGTAACCAAGCTTCTGAGGTTCCAGTAGCTTTTCTGGGAAATGTCCTGGGCAGACCACTACTAAGAAACTAGGCAGCGTATGTACTTTCTTGTCTCATGCCAAGCTCCTGTGAGAAGACCCCCATGAAATCAACTGCAAGCTCCTGCGAGAAGACCCCCATGAAATCAACTGGTTCAGAGGGGTGCCAAGTATTCCACAACTCAGCCAGGAACGGCTGCAGAGCCCTGGGTTGGAAGGGGAACACTCACTTTTTGAACACAATTTCCAGCACTTGCTCCATTGTTGCCCACTGTCTATAATTGTGGAGGAAGTTTCCAACATAGAAGAGATCGCCTTTCTGGTAGGCAGGGACCAGGTTCATCACCAGCAGGTCCAGCAGGCCTGCCTCCGGGCTCCATATATCGCTTGGCACATTCAGGGTCAGGGCTGACTCATTGGCACACTAAGGTGGGAAAAAGAATCAGAAAAAAACATGGAAATGAGAACACTTCCAAATGAGGAACTGTGATAGAGTGGACTGAAAACTATGCAGAAAGCATTATCTCAGAATAAACAAATCACATAAGAAGGTACAACTTTGGGCTGGGTTGGGGTTAAGTAGCTTTTCTATCATGACTATACCTTGCCTGAGTTGCCTTGTGATTTCCTAGGTTTCTTTTTGGACAAATCTCTGAGATGGTTGGTTCGTGGCTTGCCACTGATCCAGTGTCTACAGCTTTGACTGAGGCACCCATACTTCTCTTGGCTGAGACCAGAGTCTCGAGACCTGCGAATACAGCACAACATGTTTCTGGTTCCTGAGTCACAGGCCAAGTGAGCTGGCTTGAGCCAACTGTGAGTTACCGTGGCCTGCTGTCAGGGTTCCATGTTCTATTCCATTGTGAAGGAGGCAGGGTCACCTGTCAGGGCCAATGACCTCTGCCACTTCCTCACACAAGAAATATTCCCATCCACCCAATATTGCAATGTGTACATGTAGACAAGTTAACAGCACATCCTTGTTTGTGAAATCCTAATCTGCTAGTCCTAGGTTCTGGCATGTTCTCAGCTTCCAGGAGTTGCTCCTAGGTCACATTCATGGCATATCTGTCACTATTCCTCTTATCTGGCTCAAATTATTTTGGCTCTCAGGGCCTTCCGTGAATGCCACATCCTTCTGGCACATATTTTTACATCAACATCCTAGGTCACTGTTTACTTTCTGTAGCCTAATCTGTTTGTTCTTGGAACCCCTCTGTGGTGTCATCTGGAGCCAATGCAAATACTTAGAGATGGGAAATTGAAAGGAATAGTGGAAAACATACATTACATATATAATCAGCCTTTATTACAGGTGTCTATTTTTTTGGCCATTTCTGTGGCTTCACTTCAGCCTGGGCACTCCCCTGAGCTCTTTTGCTCAAGGCTAGCACTCTACCACTTGAGCCACTGCACCACTTTGGCTTTTTCTGTGTATGTGGTACTGAGGAATTGAACCCAGGTCTTTATGCATGCTAGGCAAGCACTCTACCACTGAGCCACCTTCCCAGCCACAGGTGTCCATTTTTGTGAGAAAATTATTTTTTATACTTGAAATATTTCATGGAGGCAAGCAGAGAAAGGAAGAGCTGCTGCATTGTCTTTTTATGATGATGAGGATTTGTTTTACTATAGCTTTGAAGGAATGTAGTATTTAAGGTAGAAAACTGCTCCTTTACGTCTTACAAGCTAATAGTTTATATAGTCATTTGCCTCTGAAGTCTTTCCTTCTGTGTCCCATGATCTAGCCTCCTCCCTGAACACAAACGGGAAGAAGAATTTCACACATTGCTGAGCTCTGGTCCAGTCTCAGCATAGGAATTGAAAATACAATATTTACTGTGGAGTGTGTGTGTGTGTTGTGTGTGTGCATTTCTGCTCTTGGACCCTTTGCGCTATCCCTGAGCAATTTTCCTCAAAACTAGTGCTTTACCACGAGACACAGGTCCACTTTGAGCTTTTTGAAGTCAGTTGGAGATGAGAGATTCATGGAACTTTCCTACCCAGCATGAACATTGCTCCTCTTCAGCCTCATCTTTCCTCAACTGTGGCAATGGCTGTTCAGTTTCTGGATTTCCCATCCAAGCACAGACACAAGCCATCCTCCACTGCACATGTCTCTTTGTGTCCCTTGAGGGGCTCAAGTCTTCTCTCAAAACTTAGTGCCCTGAGGATAGAACCTCTGAAACTCAGAACCAAGTTTCCTGATTAATTGGGATCACAGGCCTGAGCTGTATATGAACAGCTCATTACCTGCCATCGCACATTTTTCGGGGGCGGGGGGGTTGTTTGTTGGGCTTGAACTCTGGGCCTGGACCCTGAGCTTTTCAGCTCAAAGCTAGGGCTTTACCACCTTGAGGCACAGTACCACTTCTGGTTTTCTGGTCGCTTATTGGGAGATCAGAGTCTCATGGATGTTCCTGCCTGGCTGACATTCCGCTGTGATCCTCAGATCTCAGCCTCTCGAGTAGCTAGGATTATAGGCATGGGCCACCAGCTTCCAGCACATGACCCCTTTTTGCAACAGCATTTGGCGAATTTAACTATGTTGACTTGAGACAGATATACCTACACAATATATGAGAATCAATGGTATATCACTGAATTCCCCAATAATGTCTTTTACATTAATGGTTTGTGAAACAACATATTCGAGACCCATAATATCATATGCTAGTCCTCCTATAAAATACATTCAAATATATGTATTATCATGTAGTATTATATTTATATATATTATGTTATATATAATATGTAAATGATGTATATAGTGAACACAGAAAATAATCCCAATTTTGGAATTTAGCCTTTCCTGTCACAATGTTACCCAAGTCTTCTGTTAGACATGCAGATTTTCATCAACAATCTCCCTTGTTAGTCGTTTTTTAGTTCTTGAATAAAAGAGTCTTCTTTACCACCAATAGTCTACACACAAAAATGGTATGTATCAGTGTCTCTGGCTCAGGCCTGTATTCTTTGCTAGTCAGGAGGCTGAGATCTGAGGATCATGGTTCAAAGCCAGCCAGGTCAGGAAATGCTATCAGATTATCTCCAGCTGTAGCTCAAAGTGGTAG